TCTTTTTTCTTTCTTTCTTTCTTTTTTTTTTTTCCAGAAAAATAAATAAAAAAATAAATGAAAGAAAGAAAATAAGCAGGAAAGGAGGAGTGGATTGGCCATAGCTGCCTCCCGGGCTCCCTTCTTACATGCTTATCAGTGACCTCCCCCAGGTGCCCCTCACCTTCCCCATTCTCACTTCCACCTCCCCAGCCTCCTCAGGTCAACTCTTCCCAGAACAGCTAGAGGTGTCTTTTTAAAAAGATAATTCCCACAAAGTCATTCTCTGAATTCAAAGCCATTACAGGGGTTCTGAATCCACACCTGGCCTGGCCCCAGGGCGTTAGTGCTTGCTGGCCCTCTGCCCAGAGGACCCTGTCCTGTGCTCTTTGCCTGGCTGCCTCCCTCTCCTGCCTCCGGCTGAAGCCTTCCTGGACACCAGCAGAGCAGTCCCCATCACCTGGTTGTACTTTATTCACAACATTTATGTCTCTCTGAAATCATCTTATTTATACATTTAAAAAATCATTTATGGCCGGGCTCGGTGGCGCATGCCTGTAGTCCCAGCTATTCGGGAGGCTGAGGCTGGAGGATCTCTTGAGCCCAGGAGTTCTGGGCTGTAGTGCGCTATGCCGATCGGGTGTCCGCACTAAGTTTGGCATCAATATGGTGACCTCCTGGGAGCGGGGGACCACCCAGGTTGCCTAAGGAGGGGTGAACCGGCCCAGGTCGGAAACGGAGCAAGTCAAAACTCCTGTGCTGATCAGTATTGGGATCGCGCCTGTGAATAGCCACTGCACTCCAGCCTGGGCAACATAGCGAGACCCTGTCTCTTAAAAAAAAAAAAAAAGAAAAAAAAATCATTTATCTCCCCCTGCTAGGAACCTCAGCTCTAGGAAACAGATCTGCTCTCATGTTCACTGCTGTATTTCTCAGCCCCTTGGACTAAAGTCCTTACACATTGCAGTCCTTACACTTTGCTATTCCTTGAATATGCCGGCACATTTCCACCCCTAGACCTTTGCCCTGGCTGTTCCCTCCACCTGGAATGTTCTCATTCCAGAGACCTGCCTGCTTTGCCGTTAGGAAGGACCTCCCTTTAGGTCTTTGCTAAAATGTCACATTCTTAGTAAGCTCTTCCCTGAGCACCCCATTTAAAACTGCAAACCCTGGCCAGGCGGAGTGGCTCACGCCTGTAATCCAGCACTTTGGGAGGCCAAGGTGGGTGGATTGCTTGAGGTCAGGAGTCGAGACCAGCCTGACCAACACAGTAGAACCCCATCTCTACTAAAAAAAAAAAAAAAAAAGCTGGGCGTGGTGGTGGGCAAGTATAATCTCAGTACTCGGGAGGCTGAGACAGGGGAATTGCTTGAACCCAGGAGGCAGAGGTTGCAGTGAACTGAGATTGCCCCACTGCACTCCAGCCTGGGTGACAAAGCGAGACTTCATCTCAAAACACAAACAAAACACCTGCAAACTCTTCTCCCACCACCACTCCCATAGCCCATTTCTGATTTTCCCTTTTCTTGCATGTTTATCACCTGAGATAAATATTAACATATCTTACTTCTTTGCCTCACACACTAGAGTGACAATTCCACAAGGGCAAGGATTTTTACCTTTCTTGCTTACAGCCATATCCCTAAATGTAGAAAAATAATTTACATATAGTAGGTACTCAATAAACTGTGTTGTATGAGTGAATATGTGTCTCCATTACCACATGTGCACATGAACGGGGCGGGGGCGTCTCTCTCACACTCACCTCTGTGGCAGCAGCACCTGGCACTGCCCTGGCACAGCTCCCAGGACCAGGGTGTTTTCTCTTTCCTCCGAGACATCCTCCACGCAATACTCCCTGCTGCCCCCACTTCTGGACTTCTCCCACACCAGCCCCCATGCCCACTCACCTCCCCAAACAGTCCAGGACAGTGGAGGAGGAGGTGACCGCACTCTCCAGCTTTCTTACCAAAAGCTTGTTTGTTGAAGAAAGTGAACCCCTGGTGAGGACGAAGAGAAAGGAGGGGAGAAGGAGCAGCAGCAGCCACTGGGGTAGCATCATGGCCCACAGGTGGTGGTGGCTTTTCCAAGGTCCAGCTAAACAACCTGCACACCGACCGTGTGGGTGTCCTCTGGGCTGTGGGAACACCAGGTAAAAGCAGTACCCGACGCTGTCAGAATTTTCCCATCCTGCACAAAGCTCGGGCTAGGCCAATCAGCAAATTCCACCGCAAGGTTTAGTTCAGGCAGACTAAGCCAATCCAATCAGGACCGATCTTAGGATGTTTGCTGAGAATTGTGGAACAGAGATGCTTTCTTTCTCTGCAAGGAACAGTATGAATGTACAAGGTGCAGTTAAGCGCCTGGCCTCTGGGGCAGGATTGTCTGGGTTCAAGTCTCAGCTCCAACCCTTACTCTAGGAGCCTCAATAACCTGTCTGTGAAACAGGGATAATTATAACACCTACTATGCACCTGTTGTGACAGAAAGATGAGTCAATACAGTTAAGAAACCACTTTGGGCCAGGCGCAGTGGCGCATGCTTGTAATCCCAGCACTTTGGGAGGCTGAGGCAGGCGGATCACTTGAGCCCAGGAGCTCGAGACCAGCCAGGGTAATATAGTGAGACCCTGTCTCTATTTAAAA